GCTTCTCCTAGTTGAACGCTCTGTCCCTACTGTCCTCTCATTAAATCGATAGCTTGGCTTTACTACCTCAATTCTTCTGTGTTTGTACAACCAGCCCAGAGAATCTCTCTCTCTCTCTCTCTCTCTCTCTCTCTCTCTCTCTCTCTCTCTCTCTCTCTCTCTCTCTCTCTCTCTCTCTCTCTCTCTCTCTCTCTCTCTTTCTCTCTCTCAGCCTATCAGATTTGTATTTGCTTGCGAATGTATTCTTTGGACAGCTGTATTTGTCTGTGTCTGTCTGTCTTCTCTTGCTGTATATCTGTTTATCTTTTCCTCTTCTCCTTCTCTTTCTGCTTGTGTGCCTTCCCTGTCTGCCAGTCTGCGTGCCGTCTTGTATAGTTGTCTATCTGTATCTGTCTCTGTCTGTCCATTCATCCATATATCCATCAATTAGTCCATCGCCCCATCTATCCGTTCATCTGTCTGTATCTGTTTGCCGGTGTGTCTGTGTGTCTGTGCCTACCTACCCGTCAAACACAACTACTCTATCAGTCTCACACATTTTCAAAACCGTCGGCTTGCACACTTAGGCTGAAGTCATCTCGGGTGGGGTTTTGTTTGTGTCAGATATCGGTGTCACATTTCCATCACAAGTTAAACAGTCACTGTGTTCATCGGTACAAGCAGATTCCAATTTAGGGCGTGGTTTCTATCTGACTTGGGCCCATGTTGCTGGTCATGGTTGTTATGTTTTTGTTTGTGTTGACACACATAGTATAGTTGATAAGCATGGACATAGCAGATATAATCAACGCTGTGCGGACTGGGCTAGTGGGTAATGACGAATATCTTGACACTAACACGATTGCGTGACACGAGAGTAAAACATGGTGAAGCACGTCTGTGCAACCTTCGAGACTGAGATAGGAGACATTATAACCAACTTCTTGTTGGAACAGTTAGTAGAAGTACCTTGGAGTGGCTGCTGGATCAGAGGACTGAGCACGCTTGGGAATGCCCAATGTGCAGTGACTTCAATTGTGGTAACATAACATGTTATGATAACATAATACTTGGATAGAATATGAAAGACCGAATAGAATAAGTCTAGAAGGTATGTCTATATCGTAGGGTAGAAGAGCAGAAACTGAACAAGCCTGGGAGTAAATCTGTATCGTTCGGTAGACAGGTTCAAATGTGGAGAACTAGGCATGACAGAATGTTTAGCTTCGAAGTTATTTATGCTTCCGACAGCGCTTTGCTAATGCAGTTTCCACAAATAGGCGAAAGTCTCCGGTTTCGCTGCCTCAGCTACTGAGGTTTTCACTAGTCTTTTTTTTTTTTTTTTTAAATGGGACGGTTAGGGACAATTCATTTAATTTTTACTGGCACATCAACAGAGCAAGTATGGAGTGACCCGATTGCCAGGAAACCTTGACTAAGACTAAGACAGGGTGGGACTGAACACTCCTGGAATGTAAATTTGTCTATATCCTATTGTTTAAGCGGAGTCTAGAGAAGGGTTTAGATATTAACAGTAAACAGAAGTTATTAAAGAAGTAACACGTTTTTCCTATCCTGGGCACATAGTAACAGATAATGGCAGAAGTGAAACAGAAATCTAAAAGAGGATAAGAAAAGCAAAAATTGTCTTTAATAAGATACAGAGGTTCTCAGCCTGTAGGCAGCAATCTCTAGGGGGTTACCACACGTGAAATTTTAAAAATGAAAAAAAAAAAAAAAAACGTAGAGCTTAAACCACGTGGAATCTTGCAAATTTTCTAGCTTGTTCTGACTCAAACACGCGGGTAAGATATGAACCTCCGTCACCGATAGCTAAATCAAATATGCTTAGGGTATTAGTTAAAAATAAAAATAAAAAAACAAAGAGGACAACTTTTGCAATAAATCCATGTCATTGGGGATTCGGATTCTTGTTAAATAGAGTCAAGTTTTAACTATGGTTGTGAATCCTGGACAGTTAGTGAACAAACTCGCGTGAGCTCCGGGGGCTAATTTTAAGAGGGAAAGAAAAGACCCACTGCTCCCCACAAGCATGTTGTAATTAGGGGTTTGCTGCACTCGGATGCAATGGGCTGAAAGGTAGCTAGGCTTGTTAGGCGGACAGGCCGTTCGATAGGTAGGTAGGTAGGTAGATAGATAGCTGACTCTCGGGTCCTTAATACTCCAGCACAAGTTCCTTAATTAATTCACCGCCATTTTTAGACAAATCTAGAGATAAGCGTGCCTTTTCTAGGACACGAAAGTGCACAGATAAAAACTTAAATGTTTTACCAGCCCAGACAAGTTGAAAGCTGGCCTAGGAAGGATGATTCGACAGGCGGACAGACACAAGTACTGCTCTTCTGATCCAGGAGCTTCAGAATCCTGCTTTGATTTTAACGTATTGTGTTACCTTCCCTTTGGAGTTAACAAAACAGGCCGAAAGAGATATTATGCTGTATGGGTAACACATGATCTTCTTAATACTACCCTAGCTTTGTGTTATGGAGAGAAGGAACTTTATCCCTGGCCTTAATTGGTTTCGCCTATTCCCATATTTCCGATAAGCACAATAGAACACGGCCGTCTCAAAAAACGAAACCTGCCAACAACAGGATCACTCGCAAGGTGTGCGGCAGCCTGATTGCTCGCGTCATACAAAGCACATGATGAATATCGCCAGCGACTCACCACCGCACCGTCTCACCACCGCACCGTCTCACATCGCATCCTACCGTCGGTCATTTTTTAACTTCGGTTGTTGGTAGCAATCGATTCCCCGGCACTTGAAACCATTGACGCCCGGTCTCCCAGGAGTTGTCCCCCGTGTTTGGCCACCGCTGATTATGTCCCCTGATTAACATCCGGTCGGTACCCGGGGAGGGAGCGGAGCGCGGGGATTGTCCCATTTGTCAGATCACACAAGTCGGTAATGACTGGCTTCCAGGAGCTTGAAGACTCACCGTACGCTTTTGCCGGCGCTCAGGTCACAGCTGTCATCCGCGGCAACTGCCGGTTGTTGATGCGGCTTTATTGCGCAACCATCGATCAGGCTGTTGTTGTTGGTTGTGAGGGGGCGGGAGGGAGGTAACTGAGTGTTTTAACCTCACGGCTGGGGTGGTGTTGACTAGGTTGGTTACTCATCGCGTTGGAAAAGGGGTGCTCCGTCGCGAAGTGGGTTGAAACCGTTTGTTTGCGTTGTGCTTTGAAGGTCCGTGGGTTTGTTTCTCAAATCGCGTTGGTCTGTTGAGATTGAAATTTTATCGGATGTCTGTGGGTGCTGGAACTACAGAGTTCCCCGTGTGTAATTTTTTCTTTGTCCTGCACTCCTCCATTTATTTCATAATTCGTAAATATTGCGTCGTGACGCCCCAGTCTTCCACGGTGCAACTCTCATACTACGGTCTGAAAGCTACATAACTTTTTCTTCTTCAAAATAAACCATCTACTGAATCAAGCCTTCGTACTCCCAAAGGGTAGAAAATTGTGAAATGCATTTACTGACCCCAATCGCAGATGAGGTGTGTAAAATGTAGGGGATCTATTACATGACTAAAGCTTTGACCCCATGGTGTCTCCAAAAGCACCTGAACTGGCTAACCGAGTTAAGGAATAACTTAACTTACAGCCTTCAGAGTCCTAGGCGGACGATTTAACCGCGCCACAGTGCAAGCTATCGCTGGGTTAAGAACCGATATTCTAGCACTCGCAGCATTCCTATAAACGCTGCTGCTACTACTACTACTCCCCCTTCTTCTTTTCTTCTTCTTCTTCTTCTACTTCTTCTTCTTCTTCTTCTTCTTCTTCTTCTTCTTCTTCTTCTTCTTCTTCTTCTTCTTCTTCTTCTTCTTCTTCTTCTTCTTCTTCTATTTTCAAGCAGAATTTAGTGAAATCACACCACTTCCTAGGCTTTGTCATCGCGGGAGTTCACCCCATATTCTCTTATTCTTTTGCACTTTAAACGTTTTCTCCCTTCTCTGAGTGTTGTTTGTTTTTCGTTTTGAGTGTCTCTGTACAGTTTTGCTTTGTAGGTTCTGGTGCAAGGCCATCCTGGTAACTTTATCGTCACGTTCTTCTCCATGCGGATATTGTCTCAATAAATCTCCCCGCCTATACAATCAGCCCTTGAGCGGTGAACGCCATTTAGCATCTTCCTCAATTCACCTGTTAGTGATTCCCCATATCGACCTTTCCAAAAGCCATTTGATACCAGCGATCTGCTTATCGACCCAGCCCGCAGTCGCTGTTCTCCCAGACCCCGGTGAATCGATCCCCCATCCTGGCCATTGTCCGCCCCGATTCATTATAAGGACACACGTTGCGCGTAATCCAAGAATCAATTACTACACTCGTCGTGTCCACATTGGGCTGCGAATTGATTTGCGGTAAGTCACCGGTAGAAGTGTTCAGTTAGCATGTATCCGTATAGATTTGCAGTCACGGGATACCCCAGGGGAGGATTATGAGGTGGAAAATGTGGAAGGTGCGATTGTTGCCTGTGTATGCCAAACCCCGACTTCTTCTGAGTGAAGGAGTGGGGTTGAACCTGCATAGGACAGCACACACAGCGAATAACACCTGTTAACTCAAAGTGCCACTGTTCTCGTGAGAACCCTCCAGGCACAAATCCCAGAAACCCCCGTTCCGCCATATGATGCATCGTTGTTAGCTTCTTCTTCTGCTCCTTGTCCTTCTCCAGCATGATCATTCTTCTTCTTCTCCTCTTTTTCCTCCTCCTCCTCCTTCTTCTTCTTCTTCTTCTTCTTCTTCTTCTTCTTCTTCTTCTTCTTCTTCTTCTTCTTCTTCTTCTTCTTCTTCTTCTTCTTCTTCTTCTTCTTCTTCTTCTTCTCCTTCTCCTTCTCATCCTCCTCCTCTTCTTCTTCTTCTTCTTCTTCTTCTTCTTCTTCTTCTTCTTCTTCTTCTTCTTCTTCTTCTTCTTCTTCTTCTTCTTCTTCTTCTTCTTCTCGTTGTTGTGCTTTTTGTTCTTGTTTCATTTATTTTGTCTTTTTTTTCATTAACAGAAGCGGTTTGCGAAAGGTATTCGCCACCTGGGCAAGAATTTCTTCAGAATTCGCAAGGAGCACCTGCCACACAAAGACACAGTAAGATGTGCTTTCTTGACCACAGATTTGTTTTTTCTTCTGTCGTGACTGTCTACCCATCCAACTGCCTATCCCCCTGCTTATCTGCCTACCTTCCTACATGCCTTCTCGCCTGCCTACCCACTTAGCTCACCACCCATCTCTCTCTGCTTACTTACCTAACCTAACCACTCACCTACTTACCTACACACCCCACGAGTCTGTCTACCTTCGCCACCCACATACCCCTATGTCTGCCTATTCACTCACCAGTCTGCCTGCCTACCTAATTACCCATCTGCCTACTTACTACAATAACTGCTAATTCCACCAGTCTTGGCGAATGACAGTTGCAGCTGATAAGAGAAGAGAAGCCCTGAAGATGACTTGTTAAATGACAGTCAAGAAAACTGACAGAAATATTTCTGCTTGGCGTATGCCCGTTGTAAACTTCTGGTGTTACATCTGCTTCTTTCATTTATGAGTTCTGAGTCCCTATATCAAGGGGGCGGGGGAAGGGGGGGGGGGGGAAATAGCCAACAAGGTTGTTGTAAAAAGCGACCATTTAAGGTGTTACTTTTAGTGTCGGAGAGCATCTGCACGAGAGGCAGGTAACCGGCAGGCTGCATACAAATTAGTCAGATCTGTAAAACGGACATGCACGCTAAACTGAAGTTCTGGAACAACAAGACCAAAATCCAGAAGTGGATGAACAACCATAGCTTTCCGCTAGAGTTTACAGCCGCTGGGCGTCAGGAAGTATACACTTCTGATCTATGGTTTTGTGCCAGCACTGCCAGAGTTCTGGGCACACAACCATTTTTACGGATGTGGCTTTTTTATATGCAGATTGTTTGTTTCTCATCTCTCAGGCAGATGGATAACCCCTAATTAGTTGCCTGTTACGAAATGCTTTCGTTTTGTTGGGGTGAAGGGTGGATCTGTTCTTTCCCCCAGATAATGGTACCACTGAACCCACACGGGGAGGAGAGAAAGACGTAATACTAGGTTAAAGGTTAACACTATGTATCGAATGAAGGTAGTTTGACAAATGACACAACAGGCATGCTGTTTAATCAATACGACCACGGTTCCGCTGGCTTGTTAATGAAGTTGGCGGCCACGGAAAGGCATCATCTCCAACAGGGGACGGGATTTGGCGAAGGCGAGGTTAACGTGAAAGGCAGCCAAACAGTTGCCACGAATTCACTGAACTGTGCACAGTGGGAAGGGTTGTCGGCACACAGACTGATGATATATGTTGTTGAAGACCGCAGTTTATGGAGAGGTCTGGTTGTTCACGCGATACGACAAGGCACTTGATGATGACGATGATGGATGATGATAGTGATGATGACAAGAAAACACTCACAGAAAGTTTCGCCCGAAATCGTTGTCAGTAAGCATTACTAGAAGAGGGGATCTTCGTGATGGAAGTCTTGCTCTCTGAAGGTCGTGAGTTCGTTTCACGAGTGCACTTTATACTGAAATCTTCCTGTGGATCGTGGCTGCAGAGAGAGAGAAAGAGAGAGGAGAGCTAGACGGAGCCATATGGGTGCAGACAAGTAGATACTCTCGACCTTAACTTTTAACTTGAAAGTTCTTTTATTTTATTTAACCCCATCTCGGGGGCTCCGAGATTTCATAGGGAATCACCAGGAAAGTCCAAAATTTGGGGGGGGGGGATTTACAGTGAGGTTTAGCGTCGGGGTTCATTCCACACCTAACACCCAGATACTCTTGGACTTTCCCAGGGAATACCCTACACAAATCTCAGAACCCCTGAGATGGGGTGAAATAAAATAAAAGAACGAACTTTAATTACGAGAAGAAGAAGTGTCTTGGACGCCAGCTGCTCACACGGAGGAGTCACCTGCACCTGGTGTCTATGACTCTTCTTGTTGTTGTCTAACTCAACTGCATCACTAGGGCAAGTCTCGATTCAGCCTCCAAGGAATTTAGTTAGGACACCCGTAACGGTCACACCAGACTAACGTAAACTCGAGTCCAGTGCGAGTAACTCTGTGGCATCTATTTGTCAACGCCAAAGCAACCGACAGCTGGCAAGACAGGACCCGCTGGCAGCTGAACGGACGCCATTACTGCTACTTGTCTGTCTGTCACTCATACTCGCGCTGGGCTTCGCCTCGACGCGAGCTTCGGAAATTTGGCGGAGTTCCCGCGACCTAGCAATGGCGAGATCGTATTGATCAATGAGAAGAAACCATCGCGGGGATTTGGAGCGGTGGATGAGGGGAAGTTTTTGTTTGTTGCTTTCTGTATTACTAGCGGTATTGTTGTCCTCCAGTGTTCTTCGCGAGAACAGTGAGCCTCCAGATTACCGGTTGCTGACTTCGCGCGCTTGTGTATGTCCGGAGATGTGTTATAGGCGCATGAACGGGCTGTATTTGTTTGCACACTTGTTCTTGTGCAGTTCATCCCCTTCCTTCGCCTTTCATTCTTCTTTCTTATCCTCCTACGCTTATTCTTCTCCTTCTTCTTCTTTAAACGAGCGGTTGACACATTGTCTTGTGGTTTACAGCTAGGCTGTGATATTTGCGCTTTGCACATCCAATTTCAGCAAAGCCTTAATAGTTGCTTTATTCGGCACGCATGTTGGGGCAGTGGATCTCACCACAACCCCAACAAATGGTGTCCCAAAACCCAGACGGGGAAAGAAAGCCGGCTCATAAACCAATGGGGAAACTCAAATATTTTGGTCACATTGAACAACCTGCTACCCGCTGCAAACCGTAGTCGGTGTTGTGAACATGAGACCATCTAAAGCAATACATTAAAAAAAAAAAAAAATCAGACTGTCAAAATGAACAAAATTTATAGTTACGAAATGAAATATTTACCACTTTTATATAAGGGTATATTAAAAAGAAGAAAAAAAAAAAAAAACAGATTTCCCCAAGCCGTCTTATAAAAACCCAGATGGGAAGGGCGGAAAGGGGGGGGGGAGGGGTGGGGTTCCAGCATTGGTAGCCTTGCCATTTAGTCGCTAAACCAATGTGTTGTTCACCTCTCCCTCGTGGCCCCAACACGGCCGGTAACAAAAGCCTTTAGTTGCCCCTGTTGCCGGGTCCTGGGCCGACACACTTTTGCACACCTGTAGAGTGGACGTGTCTCCTCATTATTTGACCACAAGCAATAACACAGCGGTCACACAGGCCGCCCCAGTCTAACAATATTGTCCCAGGTTTTAGCGCCACTCTTGGCTTCCCTGGTATTGTTGGGCCTGTCAGTAAACAGCCCACGGGGTCGCGACCAACACTAGCCCATCGGAGGGGACCTCCTCGATACTACACGGGATTTGATGATGTTCGGTGGCGTTCTCATGAGATTATCTCCCTTGGGGATGTGTTGTTTGCGGAGGGCAAGGCTTTTGAGTGCCCTGGATGTGTGGGAAAATAAAGCGGTGAGTCGTGAGACGCCTTTCTTTGGGCTGTTTAGAGGAGAACAACGGGTGTTTGAATAGAAAGTAATTGTTATGGGTGTCACGCCACTACTTTTTGTAATAACGCTGATTTTTGGGCGGCGAATGCCAGACCTGACATCCCACATTGTGTCAACCGCTTCTGGCGAAGGGGCATATTGGGGGAGGATACTAGTCTTATCCTCAGATGAGGAAATGCAGCCTGAAAACTTTATGGCAGGGCAGACAAAACCCCGTAGCCTTAGTTGGCAGCTGATTTATGAGGAAAGTTCCCATAAGCGGACAGACAACACTGCTCTTCTGATGGGGCAGCTTCTGTAGCATGCTTTGTTCCAAACGTATTGGTGTTACCTGAAATGTGTTTAGTAAAAGGCCAGCAGAGAGTGGGATCATACTGCTTTGGGCAACACCTGGTCTCTGCAGAACTGCCCATCTTTGTACTGTGGAAAGGAAGGGAGGGGGGGGGGGAGAAACGTAATGTAATCCCCTTGCATCCCTATACCACAATGTAATATTATGGTCTGGAAAAACGGTAAGGTGCCAACAACATACTTCATCTTCTACGGCGGAGTACTCAATGAAGACGTTTACGAGTGCATGGATGCTGTAATTATATAAGACAGTGGTTCTCAGCCTTCCTACTGCCGCGACACCTTTAATACAATTCCTTATGCTGTGGTGACCCCTAGCCATAACATTATTTTCGTTGCTACTTCATAACTTCAGTGAGTGTGTTTTCCGATGGCCTTAGGCTACCGCTGTGAAAGGGTCATTCGACCCAAAGCGGTCGCCACCCACGGGTTGAGAACCACTGATATATAAGGTCGAACAGGGAATATGGGATTTACCTTGTTGGATTGCCATCCAGGATACATGCCCTGCATTGCAGGAGTGGTGAGGCCTTCAGGAAGCAGTCCGGAGGGTTGGAGAACGCACTGACTGAAAGTCAGTTCAGTCTGCTGAGTATCCAAGAGGTTTTTAAAAAAAATGTTATTTTGTTTAGACATATTACGAAAACGGTTGTCAAATTTTAGACATTTGTCGCCCAATACATTTTACTGTATCTCAACATTTGCATTTATACAGAGTGTATTGTATATCAACACATAATGATATATCAAACAATGTTTGAAATTGAAATACTCAAATGACAGTCACATCTCGGCAGTCTTGAAATTAAGTGTGTGATCCGTCTGTCTGTCTGACTGACTGACTGTCTGTCTAGTAATCTGTCTGTCTGCAGTCTTGTCTGCCTACCCATCGAACGGCGTCTCTTCTTCTTTTCTCTGTTCCTGGAATGCCTATGCGGTCCATATCTGTGTGGTCGACCTCTGGATCTGTTAACCACTGTGGTACCCTGTCTGGTGTCGATCCTGTTACATGACCAAACCCCATGATCTGTTGTCCACCAAAAAAGTTCAGTATTGTTTCCTTGCCGACTCTGCTCCTGATATTATCGCTCCTAAGTCGATCTTTCCTCGTTACACCTAGCATAGTACGTAAACATTTCATTTCTATCGTGACTATTTTCCATGTGGTAACTGATGAAAGTTTCCATGTTTGACATTGATAGCTTAGC